TAAAGGGGACATTTTGAAAATCATTTTTGAGGCTAGAAAAGACTCTGAAGAGCCCTGGAGCTGGCACTGCCATGGCCGGGCACCCATGAGCAGCTGTGCATCTCTCCTGGAACCTGAGCCCGGTGCTCTTTCTTTTATACCATTCTAGGTGTGAATGGTGTCACGTAAAACAAACTCTGAAAGGAATCAGATTTGCTAAAAATAACTACAGAGTAAAATTGAAAACTTGGAATGTGTTGGGGGAGGGGTATACATTTGGGAGCGAGTGGATAAGTTTTGTTTCATTTTTTTTAAATGGAATTACAAAGCACCTCGGTTGTCTGATGCATTCTTATGACATGGATGTCTCACATTCTTTAGGGATCTAGTTCCTTGATATTTTGCAAACCTTCCAGTGTCAAGAGCCATGCTTGTATGTTTTACGAGTTTCCATGATGTGTCTGATTCTAGGAATGTGAACAGAGAGACCAAGTTGAAGTTCGTGCACACCTCTGTCCATGGTGTGGGCCACAACTTCGTGCAGTCGGCTTTCAGGGCTTTTGACTTTGTTCCTCCTGAGGCTGTTCCTGAACAGAAAGTTCCGGATCCTGAGTTCCCAACAGTGAAATACCCCAATCCCGAAGAGGGTAAAGGCGTCTTGGTAACCTAATGTTTTTAATTATAAAATTTACCTCTTCAAAACTATCACTATCAAGTAAAATAAGTCTTTATGTGCTTTTATTGTGCTGAACAACAAAAAATAATGTCACCATTGGAAATATATTTATTAATCATTTATTTCTTAAAGGAACTTTCAATTTGGGTATCTTAGCATCGGGATGTGAGAACTGAAATCTGCATGGTGTTTTAAATTTAATTTTATTAATTAAGTTTAAATTTAACTTACTGTGCTTCCTTGATGCCAAAAAGAAACAGTAGTAGAATGGAAGTTTATCAGTTTTTATGCCTTATTGTCATTTTTCTGATAGGAAGACATGCTATTTAAATTATGGTTTCTTTAACCTTCTTAAAGGTTACGATAACAATGATATTTAGAGAGTCAGTTTGTTTTGTGAGGTTGACCACACACAAAGCCTGGAAATACCAGTCCAATGACACACACAGTATAGATGTGGGGCAGATTTCATGGGCAGGCTTGGGTCATGCGTTGATGCTCCCATTTTCTGACATGACCAGCCAAGACCATCAGAAATAAAATTCAGCCTTAGTTTAGGGAACGTCCTCTTTTAGTTCTTAAAGACCTGAGCATTTTCTAAGACTGCAATATACGTGATTCCTGATTGAAGTACTCTTTTCTCACTCCACTCTTTTTCAGACTCTATCTTTTGCTTTGGCTGACAAAATCAAGGCCAAAATCATTTTAGCAAATGACCCAGATGCTGATAGACTTGCTGTGGCGGAAAAGCAAGACAGGTACGAATTAATTGTGGTTGCCTAGAAAATATAAAGGGTGACTTCGGCAATAAAATGTTTCTGGAGAGACTGGACCTATTTGGAAATATTCCCCATTTACTTTGCCAAGGATCGTGTCACTGAACCTCTGTGAAGCAAAGTGCTGATCTGGGGACCGTGTGATGGGCAAGCATAATGCAGAGTAAGCCAGTCCAGCGTGTATATACAATCAAAATTACTATTTGTTATCTTCCCTCATTTCATCATTGATTTTATTATGATTAATGACTCAGTGCCTAATGAGAGCAAAGTACTTTGCTTGGTGCTGACTTTACAGTTCCGTATTTGCCAAAGGGTTTGGTAAGGAGCTAGACTTTCAAAGAAATGTTGAATTTAGGTTGAGCAAACCAGAGAGAGATACCTGTGTGGTACTGACAGTGTCTGAGGCAAATGTGACTGGAGAGTTTGTACAGAGGAGTGGTAGGTAAGTGGGGGTAGACGTTGAAAGATAGGCAGGGTTCAAACATTTTGGGTATCAAACGGTGTATGTGATGTTTTGGGGATAGTGTGGTGCGGCCAAAGGGTTAGGGTTTTAGATGATGATAAAACAGGTTTTTATATCAGTTTTTATAAAATTAAGCTAAGGTGATACATGCTGACATGTGAGATGTCCTTCTAGCCACTCGGACTCCAGAGAGGAAGACAAATCACACATCTGTTCTGCAATGTCCTCACCTTTGTAGCTCCGAGCTCAGTCTTTAGGAATGTTAAGCTATTACCGTCTCAGAGTTAGCAATACTGACTGGACCAAAAATTCAGATCTGCAAATTATTATAGTTGGGGGATCTTGCTAGCATATTTCTGTTATGTTTAAGACCAAAGCCTTTGCTGAAGACTAAGATAAAAGCTTTATGTGTTATCCCTGACAGACTGATTTTATGAACTCTTCAAACATAGGATGTTTGTCTTGGCAAACTGTCTGAGACGTGATAGCTGTTCAAATGTTTGTGCAGTGGCACTCACATTTCTGGCCACTTATTTCAGTAAGAATAATAAGAACAGCCTTCCAGAAACTACTTTGAGCCTTGTTTGGCTTAATTGTCCTGTCCCAGTGACTCCCAGCGTCTCTCTTAAGATCACTGCAATGCAGGGGTCGTTTTTTCTTTCAGTGGTGAATGGAGAGTGTTTTCTGGCAATGAGTTGGGGGCCCTCTTGGGCTGGTGGCTCTTTACTTCTTGGAAAGAAAAGAACCAAGATCCCAGTGCCCTCAAAGACACGTACATGTTGTCCAGCACTGTCTCCTCCAAAATCTTGCGGGCCATTGCCTTAAAGGAGGGTTTTCACTTTGAGGTAAGGTGTTTGGGGGACATATTCTTTTCCATTTCTTTGCTCTGTAGAAGGTGTAAGACATGCCTTTCTCTTTTGGCTCATCCCTTTAGGAAACATTAACTGGCTTTAAGTGGATGGGAAACCGAGCCAAACAGCTAATAGACCAGGGGAAGAATGTCTTATTTGCATTCGAAGAAGCTATCGGTAAGAAATGATAATGATGACCATAGCATTAATTTATAGAATGCAAAAATTGGGAAAAGATGTGGATTTGGATTGGAGTTCGAAAGATTAGCCGTGAAACAGGAGCACACAGTTTGCTTTGCTTGTGTGGCATTCAAAGAGCGTTGAACTGTCCTACCCCAAAATCATCAGGTCAGATTTTTTTCAGCTAAAAAGAATATCTCGTAAATAACCAAGCTGTTGATGTAAGAAAGTGAATTCTTTCCCCAGATGACTGAAAACAGTGATGGTCTGCACATGACTGCAGATAAGAATCCACCTATTTTGGGAGTTGTGACATTTCCTCAACTGTGGTGTTGATATCCAGGCCTCATACAGTTCTCTCCTCCTCAGCAAGTGCTATGTGGACGTCTGTCCAGAGGAAAGGAGAAGGCACGGTTGTGGTACCTTCATCAAAGTGATTGTCACCTGAAAGGATGACCCCAAGTCCAGCCAAAATGACTGAAAAAGCAGTTGTCTTAGATTGTCAATATAAATTAGCAGAAAGGAGAGCTAGCTATAGAAACTTGAAATTAAGATGTTTATGCTGGTGATATTTTAGCTATTTGTTTAGTAAAAGCTATGACACAGTATACTTATTTTATAATATATATTCTTCTGATTCATCTTTATATTTCCTATAGCACAAAATCATTTAACTGATTAATCAAATGATGTGTAATAGCTCAGCTTTGCTCTTTTGTCACAATCGGCAGTCTTATCTTCCTATAGCTTTTTATTAAAAAACATGTTTTTTACATTGGTTTATCAAATAGTTATTGAATATCAATTACATAGTGACTCTGAAAGAAATGGACACTGACCTTAGCCTACAGCAGCTTATAAGGATCTATCTATTGGGTTGTGGAAAAGTCATGACGCATTTTTGCAATGAAAAACAGAAAAAATACGTCATGACTTTTCCGACAACCCAATAGTTAAGTAGCCACACAAAAGAGGGTAGGCCACATGGCAAGATAAATAATATAACTCGCAAGAACTATGAGGACTCAGAGAAGACAAAATAAGCGTTAACTAGAACAATTGGAGATAATTTTGTGTGAGCTGGAGGGATTCGGGGTGGACCCTGGGAATGAGCAGTTTGTCTAGGAAAAGACGCTTCTTACAGGTTACTCACCAAATGCTTCTTGAAGGCCTGCTATGCACCAGGCACTGGACTAGTTTCTTAAATATAATGGTAAATGAGAAGTATCCACATACTCATACTATACCACCACTTATGCGATAGGCAGAGTGCATGCAGATATGTTCATGCACAGTGTTGTAAAGGAACCCATTCCTAACAGTGTATGTCTGACACATGTTTCTGCAGGATATATGTGCTGCCCTTTTGTTCTGGACAAAGACGGAGTCAGTGCCGCTGTCATAAGTGCAGAGATGGCTAGCTTTCTAGCAACCAAGAATTTGTCTTTGTCTCAGCAGCTAAAGGCCATCTATGTCGAGTAAGTGTCTATTGACTCTACTTAATTGAAGTAATATTTTTTATTAGTTTCAGGTGTACAACGTAATGATTTGATGTTTGTATGTTATGACATGATCATAATTTTGATATGACATGATCAACACAATAAGTCTAGTTAACTTAACATGCATCACCACGTATGTGATATTTTTAAATGTATTAAGTTCTTGTGCATGAGATACTCATGTTCTTTCTAATGCTCTTACTTTAGTTATGAATTCTGTTTCTTATGAAAACTAAATAAGAGGTTATCTTTTCCTTTTGATATGTAACCACTTAATAGTAATTACCGTTTGTGATGGCATTAATCTTTACCAGATGAGAACGTTAGTTGCAGAAATGACTAAAGAATGTGATTTTAAGTGTCCAATATCAAAAAAGATTAAATGTGTTTGTGAAACATCTATTTAGTCCTCCTGGCAATTATTCGTCTCTGCCTTTTCAGTGCAAAAGCAGCGAGACAGAATACATAATGTAATGGGTGTGATGTGGCTGTGTTCCATAAAATTTTTACTTACAAATACAGGCTGAAGGCAGGCAGCAGTTTGATGATTGTACCCCTTTTTCAATGCTACATTATTCCTTTGAAGCCAGTCATGGTCATTCGTTTCATTAAATATTTTAGAGTATACTGGTTGATACATGTTCTGTGTACATTGTGCAGAATGATTTGTTCCTCATTTTACATGTATTTATATTTGTTTCAATAGGTATGGCTACCATATTACCAAAGCTTCATATTTTATCTGCCATGATCAAGGCACCATTAAAAAATTATTTGAAAACCTTAGAAACTATGATGGGAAGAATAATTATCCAAAAACTTGTGGCAAATTTGAAATTTCTGGCATTAGGGACCTTACAACTGGCTATGACGACAGCCAACCTGATAAAAAAGCTGTAAGTGATGCCTACTTTTCTATTTACCTTCTGTTAGTTATACTTTGGAAAGCTTAATTTATATGTCATTGTGATATTGTGATTTATAGAAGAAATATATGTGTGTTTAGTCTTTGTCCCTTTTCTGGCACAGAGCTCCTAAAACTCTTTCCCAAATGACGAGAGCATAAAGATGTCTTCTGTTATGTTGATAAGGTGACTTTTGGAGAGCACCTATGGATGGGGGCTGGTTGCCAGGAGAACCAGCCAGGTGAATAAAGGGTTAGAACTTTCAGATCCACCCTGACATCCGGGGAGGGGAAAGGGGCTGAAGACTCAATTCAATCACCAATAGCCAGTGATTTAATCAATCATGCCTATGTAATGAAGCCTCCATAAAAATCCAAAAGGATGGGATTTGGAGAGCTGCTAGGTTGGTGAACACATGGAGATTTGGGGAGAGTGGCCTGCTGGAGAGGGCCTGGAAGCTCCTTGCTCATTTCCTGTACCTTACCAATGCATCTCTTCTATCTTGCTGTTCCTGAGTTATAGCCTTTCGTAATAAACCCGTGATCTAGTAAGTAATATGTCCTGTGAGTTCTGTGAGCTGCTCAAGCAAATTAATCAAACCCAAGGAATGAGGTCTTTGGAAACTCTGATCCAAAGCCAAGTCAGTCAGAAGCCCAGGTGACAGACTGGACTTGTGACTGACGTCTGAAGAGAGAGAGAGAGAGAGAAAGAGAGAGAGAAGGCAGTCTTGTAGAACTGAGCCCTTAGAGAGCGAGAGAGAGAGAGAAAGAGAGAAGGCAGTCTTGTAGAACTGAGCCCAGAGAGAGAGAGAGAGAGAGAGAGAGAGAGAGAGAGAGAGAGAGAGAGAGAGAGAGAGGAGGCAGTCTTGTAGAACTGAGCCCTTAACCTGTGGAATCTGATGCTATCTCAGGTAGCTTGTGTCAGAATTGAATTCAACTGTAGGACACTAGGTGGTTATCAGAGAATTGCTTGGTGGTTTGGGGAACACCCCTCTTCAATCTACAGTCAGAATTGATGCAGAACAAGTTTAATCATATAACTTTGAAGCTGATTTTAGGCATTTGGGCATTATTATAAAGTGGGCCAGAATTAAAAGGGTCCTCACTAGTCATCTCAGCACTGTCATTTAACACATAATACTCAGAGGTGCGGGATCTGCCTCAGGTCCCACAGCTAGTTGGTGATGGTCGGGGTCTTCTGATTCCAGATCCCGCTTTTCCTCTCTCTCAGCAGTTCTCAATATTGAACAAGCATCAGAGTACCTGGCCACCTGGTTAAAATGTGAAGTGCCACAGCCCACCCCTGGTGTTTCTGATTGAGTAGGTCTGGGTTGGGGACTAAGAATTTGTCTTTCTTACAAGTTCCCAGCTGATAACTGGTGCTCGTCCAACTTCGAGAACCACTATTTGCTTCCTACTTAGTTTTACTCTGTTCTCTGAACGTCCGCTAGCCGCTTGCTGTAATGCATGATAATACATTCTTCACACAATGTAGATCCCCACTGGAATCAAAAGGCTCAGATATGGCAGACCAGTATTGCTAACTATGGTGGGGGTAAGGGAAGGAGAGTAAGAATATCCTTATGAGATGTTGACCTTATCTTTGATATTTACCTTTTTAGATATTTTTTATTTTCATCAACACACAATATATTTTTAAAAGATAAATAGTATTAAGAGTTATGATGAAACATGGCAGTTCCAACCACTGCCATCTCATTGTCATGCTGTCGAGATAACCACTTTCTCTCTTTGTTTTTTTCTCCTGATCTTTACCACCAGCTTTCTAAATAATGCGCTTATATGGTAATGTTTTGACTTATCAATGTTAGACTTTATGAATTTTCTATGATGGAGATAAGGATTTAGTTCTTCCACTTCCAGCATTCACTACTCCTTTTTTGCCCCTGTCCCTACAATACACTTATGCCACAACAAGTTGGGTGACATCAGATTCTGTGCTTGTATTATTATGACTAGTAACTGTTGTTTCCTCCTTAGTTAAGTAGTATGCTTTGATTTGGTTCTCCTAATTTGTATAAAGAATTGTTTTTCCTATAATTAATCATTGCTTTGTTCTTTCATTTGCTTGAATTTCTATGTAACTGTCACTAGTTCTTCCCACATCTTTCCAATACCCCTTAGTAGGTTTTCCACATGGTCCAATTAATTATTCGGCTAGGTTGTCGGTTCTGTTTTGTTCCCATTGGCCTCCCCTCCTGGTTCCTCCATCCGGGCAGGGCCAGCTGCTCTCTGGTTTAGGTGCACAGCTGTCATCCTGGGAATGCCCTTCGCCATTCACCAGGGTTGGGCCCCTTACTCCTGGACCCCATGACTTCCTCCTCTATATTTATTTTCCTAAATCACCTCCTCCAGTAACTTCCTAAGAAAAAGGGAATGGGAGGTAAGCTGTTGGAGACATGTAGATCTGAAAATGTCTTTTTCTACCCTCAGACTTGACTGACTCACAGTTGTGAAAATATTGCTCTATTATTATTTGGCTTCTGGTGTTGCTATTGAGCATTCATTCATTCAGGAACTAGTTGAGGCCTACTCTGTGCTACATACAGGGAGGGATGTTGATATATTTCTTCAGTCCTTTCCATGCAACTTGTTTTTTTCTCTATAGGAAGGTTTTAGAAACTTTCCACTGAACTTTCTGCTTCGAAAATTTCAGTGAGTACTTTAGTTCTCTGAGCCTCAGCTCTTTTTTTAAATTAATTAATTAATTTTTTTATTTATTTTTAAGCTGAGCCATCCTGCCACCTGTTGGCAGCTCAGTGGCAGCTCAGCTTGGGCCACGAATTGAACCAGCGACCCTGTTGCTCAGAGCTCGCAGTCTTGAGCGAGCTCTTAACCAACTGAGCCACTCGGCCGGCCCTAGTGATGTGCTTTAGGATGAGTCCCTTTTCCTTCCTTTTTCTAGGCACTTGGTGGGTCTTTGTTGATCAGCAGAGTCATTTCTTTTAGTTCTGAGACATTTTCTTGATTTTGTGTCAGAGGAAGGGGCTAAATGGTTGTTTTTCTTTTTCTTTTTTTTTTCTGAAGCTTTTTATTGGGGAATTAGGGAGGGGAACAGTGTTGGGGAATTGGAGAAGAGGAGCACTGTGTTTTTCCAGGACCCATCAGCTCCAAGACAAGTTGTTGTCCTTCAATCTTAGTTGTGGTGGTCGCAAGCTCAGCTCCAAGTCCATTTGCCACTTTCAATCGAGTGTGGGGGGGCGTAGTCCACCATCCCATGCGGGAGCTGAACCAGCAATCTTGCTGCTAAGAGCTACACACTCTCACCAGCTCAGCGGCAGCTCAGCTTGGGCGCAGCTCACTGGCTCATGTGGGAATCGAACCAGCGACCCTGCTGCTCAGCTTGTGCTTTTAACCAACTGAGCGACTCGTCCAGCCCCTAAATGTTTGTTTTGCAAATAACCTCTTCCCCTGTGTTATCTGTTCTCACTTCCTCAACAAAGTTTTAGTTAGATGCTGGCTATCCAGGACCTATGTTCAATTTTATTTGTGTCTTTTTCCCTATCATCCATCTGTATCTTCTTGTTTTACTTTTGGGGAGATTCTTCAACATTACCTTTGTGTGCTCCTGTTGACTTTGTATTTCAGCTCCTAATTTATTTTTTTTAAATCCTATTTTTGTTGCATATATATAATATCCTAGCTCTCTTAAGAATGTTATCTGTTTTTTAAAATATAGAACTTTTTTTGTTCTGTATTGTCTTTACTTCCTCCAAGTTCTTTTTTTTTCTTTTTTTTAATTTATTTGTTTTTGACTTTGTCTTTTATTTGATATCTTTTCCCCAAAGTCTGGTGATCCTCAATTGGCCTTTGGGTACTCAGAAGCTCTGTGTATATGCACAAGCCTTGTCAGCTGACATATTTCACTCTAGGGAGATTGGGTAGCAAATTAACTTCTTATAGGTGCCCCATCTGGGGGAGCCTAGCTCTCATCCTGCTCTTTTGCCTAAGGGCTGTCAGTTGGATGCTGAGGCCCTTTAAGTGGTGGGGAGATCCTGGGAGCATGGGAGGAGGGGTGCTAGCATTTAGTGTGTGAACTCTAACTTAATCTATTTTCCCCATACCTTGCCTTTCATGGTGCCTGGCGTCCCCACCTCCTGAGCCTTTCTGGTTCAATTACGCCACAGCGTTAAACCATGTCCTGTGAGCCGGTTGCCTGACTGTGTGGGCAGAGGGTGAGGATCCGAGAGGGTTTAATAGCTCCTTTCCAATACTACCTTTGTGTCTCCCCTGTAGTACCTGGTGCCTCCCCGTAGTGAGTTTGCCCGGGCTCTGCAGACAGAGCACCTTGACTTGGTTCTTGTCTGTCTCCTGCAGGGACTCTGCTGTCGTAATCCTGTGTTCTGTCAGCTCAGTCTCGCTTCTCCATCTGTTTTCTGCCTTCCTGGATTGGTAGGCAACCCATACACTGCTGTTTCCTCTTTTCCTCTGTGCCCTTGTGTTTGTTTTGTTTTTCGTACTTCTGTCATTTTAGTGGGGCTTTGAGAGCAATCAGCTATGGATACAGCTGCCAGAAGCTTTATATATTTTTTCATCTCTTTATAGACTGTTTTTGCAAAGTTAAATAAGGTTGTGTTGTCTTTTTCTGTTTTGTGATGCATTTTCATCTATTTAAATCAATTTCTTCTGAAATTATGTATTTCAAGTTTAGTAAAATTTGAGTAGCTTTAATGAACACAATGAAGGTAAAAAGCTAGTATACAAAGTTACTTAATGTTCACAAATTATTTAGTATGTCACATGGAGTACATTTTCTGATTTTCTCAATATGTTCTTTTCTAAACCACTGTATTTGTTTGGCATTTGTTTTCTTGTTTATCCAGAGAAACTATAATGTAGACCAGAATAGTTTCTATTACTATTTAAATTTATGACATGTGTAATTCATTCCTAGGTTCTCCCTACTAGTAAAAGCAGCCAAATGATCACCTTTACCTTTGCTAATGGCTGCGTGGCCACCATGCGGACCAGTGGGACAGAGCCCAAAATTAAGTACTATTCGGAACTGTGTGCCCCACCTGGAAATAGGTAAGATATGGACGTAACTGCTGCGATTTATTCGCTACACTTCCTAATTGGTTCTGTTCAAGTGCTAAGTAGAACATCTTTCCAATATGTGTTTAATTAGGAAGGCTGCTTAAGAACCTACAACAATATTGTGGTGTTAACTGCTTGAAGTGTCCAAGGACTAGTGTGCTTACTTTCTACTTAATTCCTTAATTTTCTTTGTCTGCCAACTTTCTTTATATGAGAAAATTTCATTCCTAATTTCAGTAATAGTAATAATACTTCCTTTTTCTAGTACTTTATATTTAAGACAAGCACCAATGAGTTTTTCTCTTTTTCTCCATGTCTCTGATACATTATAATCCATTGCACATGCATTCAACAGATATCTTTGAGCACCTACTGGGTATATGTCTTTGCTGAGTCTCAGGTGGGATAAACAGCCATATCAGAAAGAGTCCTTATCACCAAAGAACTGATGGTCTGGTAGCTTCAGGGTCATATTTTTGTGACCTTGGTAAAGGGTTTGAGTTGGTCACTTTCCAACAACTGTAACATTTTAAACTTTAACAGCTATGGTACCGTATTTGCCGGCGTATAAGACGATTTTTTGGCCCTGAAAAATATGCCTCCAAGTGGGGGGTC